TGGAATCCTACCTTACAGCGGGCACTGAGAATGTGGCATTGTATAGGCTAGAGGCTGCATAAACACTGGTTCCCTTTGCATCTACTGCTCAAGAACCTCTCATGTCAAAAACACACATTGTTTTGCAGGCTAAGAGGGTAAAGAAAGGATATTTGAGTCGTTAAGGAGCTTTCAGTACCTACAGACCCTCTCTCATCTTGGGATCCAGTTAGCAGAGTAAAATAGGCATCACTCCTCTTGTACCTTTTTCTTCCATGTTCAACCAGACTCCAACCACAATCAGAGCAACATTCTAGAATCCTCAAACTGTGCTTACCAAAGATAACTTGCACGTGTACCACTGCACCTCTGGTCCTTGTTCAGGTCCTGTGTTCAGCCCCAGTCTCCTCAGCATGGAACACAGCTTAAGCGCATTTAAAACTCATTCCTTGAACTTAAATCAGGATCCCCTCTCCAAAGGCCGGCACAGGAACTGTAAAAGGCGCACTTTGCTTTTGCTCATATTCCCAGATGGCCAGGACTGGGTCTGACCCCCCCACACTGAGTTCTTTCCCCTAGGCCAATGGGACAAAAGCTGGAGATGAGACCACCAAACCTACTCTGCTCCCAGGATGGGACCCCAGCACAAGCTCACCACACCCTTAAGTATTGTTCTCCATGCTGTGTGGGCACCAAAGCTGAGTCCAGCACAGCTCCTGCCTTTATAGAGCTTCTAATCAAATAAGCAGAAGAGAGACCCCATTTCACAGGGCCAGACAGCTACCACCCAGAGGAACAATCACAGGTTGGTCAGCCCTGCCCAGTGACCCTTCTCCCCAGACTTGACATCATCCAACATTACCCAAATGCCCTAGGCTGCCCAGGGCCCTGTACAACTTCCTCTAAGGACAGATTATAACTAGCTTTAGCCAGTCTCCAGGCACCAACAAGCAGGTCTGGAAAGTTCACCACAGGACTGTGCCATGGGGGCCTTCAGGGGAGGAGTCAGGCAGACCATGGCTTCCCCTGGGCTCCCTTCCTCCACAGCCCAGCCCAGCTTCTGCAATCAACGGGCAGGGCCCACCCGGAAACAGCTCACCACAGCTTTGTCGACAGATTTTCAGGCCCCTCCCTTTGAGGTCCGCAGCTCCAGCAGAGAGGGGAAAAGACTCCTCAGATTAGTTGGGTGGAAGCAGGGCAGAGCTGAGCAGTTGGGTGCGGTCAGACGCGAACTCCAGAAAACTCCAGAAGTGTCTGTACAGACGCTGTTACTCCAAACTTCAAGTCCTCGAGGGAGTCCTTTTGGACTCCCTGGGCTGCCACAGAGCCTTCCATCAGAATGTTCTTGTCTTCGCCACAGGTTCTCCTAGAACAGCTTCACCTACATCTGTCCAGCTCTCCTTCTCTCCACCCCATTCTCTTTTCCTCTGAGCATAGTTTATTTACCTGGCAGTGGAGAAGGGGCAGACAGCCTTTCTACTAAGAGGCAGAATGGAGAAACCAAAACCACTGATTCACCAGGGCTGGTTAAGAGCAGGGGGAGTTCCAGGGCAAGGGAAGCTCAGGGCTTGACCCGCTGGCTCCCCAAACCAGGGGAAGCTGCGCACACCTGGAGTCCCCACATCTAGGGTCAGGGAGAAAACTCTCACTAGTAGAAAGTCTGCACTACTAGGCTTTCTATTTTCACCTCCCTCTAATTCCCCACTCCCACCTAATACTTGAAATGGAAAACTGGTTGAGTCATTTGCAATGGCATTAACTAATTTGGTTAGAGGAGTAGCAAGAGACTGTCATTTACTGAACACCTCTACAGGCTTTGCTAAGACTTAACACACGTTATCTCCTAGTTCATTCTCACGAGACCGATACTGTAAAGGCAGGTAGGATGACTAACTCCATTTTACAGGTGAGAAACCCAGCCACAAAGACTCCACAAGTGCATCTGATTCCAGTTCCAGCTCCTCAGCACCACAGGGTGTCGTTTGAACTGGGTTTTAAGAAAGGAAAATCAGAGATGAAGGGAAATACCTCAAACATTCCTTCCTCAGGGAAGCTTCCTGAGACCAACCATCTGAAATGCCTCACCCCTTCCAGGATGATTAATGTCCACCTTCCCTGCATCATAGTTTTCTGTTCATCACTAATGTGCTTTCTGTTTCAGTTACCAGTCTCATTTACTATCAGTGGCTGTATAAGTAAGTATATTGTTGTAAATGTCTGTATATGGCTTGTTGTGTAATGAATGTTGAGTCCTGTGCCCTCTGCCCGTAGCATTCATAAACTGTAACTGGAATCAACAAATGCTTTAAAATGAAACAAAGAGGCCTGAGTCTAGGAAGAAAAAAGGATGATCTGTCACTCAGTGAAGAAAGGAGAGTTGAGAAAAGATAGAGACTGTGGCCTGGGACAAGTTGGGAGCCCCAAATGAGACTGACGAGAGGACGAGAGATGCCCGTCTTCCAGACTCCCTGTGGAGTCCAGTAGACCCTTCCTGCTGGCAGTGGTGATTTCCAGCTGCCAGGGTCTCAGCTGGACACTTCTGCTGGGGAGGGTGGGCTTGCAGCCCTGGAACAAAGGCCTATGGACATGCAGCTGGCCAGAGAGGCAGGACAGAACAGCAGCCTGAGCCAGAGGGACAGCCTAGGGTGGGGGAAGGAGAGCAGATGAGACACTGAAGACAGCTCTCAGTGCAGCTGCAGAGGCCAACACCCTCCCAGTGCCCAGAGTCTCCTCAGCCCTCAACACAGCAGAAAACAGCTAGATGGCTTCACAACTCTCCAAGGTGGGTCAGTGCCCAGGCTGGGCCTGTGGCAACCCCAGGCTTGGAGCCAGGACCTGCACAAGATGCTGGGG